ATTGCGCAGCCATAGTGATTGACAGTATGTAGTGCGCATTGAGAAAAGAAGGTGCTCTCCATTTCGTCATGTTCAATTTTTTGGTCAACTATGCCTGCTGAAAATTTGATGGCGGGGAACACATGGGACTTCAAAGGCATCGCGCAAACGTTCTTTACGCGCTGCGGCAACTTTGATTTTGGTTCATTTGCATAGCGCTGCGTGCGCGTAGCTTTGCCGAGTGATCTCCTTCTCAATAATACCTCCATGGTTATGATCAACAAATCATAACTTTTTTTTCGCATTTAGCACAATTTTCTTCTCTTTTTATTGCTATTAATATTATTATCAATTATTACTATCGTCATCATCATCATTGCTATTATTATTATTACTATTAATAGTAGTATTATTAAACAAACATGATCTTTTATCAGGGATTTTTGACAACCATAGATATCTTATTAATGTGTGTGTGATATACCATAGAAAAAAACATAGAAAAAAAAAGCTTAAAAACATTGTCTTTGAGTATGTACTTTACATAGGGCTACTTCAAAAACGTGATTTCACAACGTCCTCAGCCCCACCATTTGAGGAAATAGTACCTCTCGAGATGTCTGGAAATGACACTTTTATATAGTAAAATTCATCATCATCACATTACCATTATAGTCAAAATGAAACGCCAACAAATTTCTCATGATCTTTAATCAGGGATCTACTTAATATCCAGGACAACTTAGGCCTAATTATAGCTTACTAAGCTTTAACTATATATACTATATTATGATCAACAAATCACAAATTTTTTTCGCATTTAGCACAATTTTCATCACTTTTTATTGTTATTAATATTAATATCAATTATTCCTATTGTCATCATCATCATCATTGTTATTATTATTATTATTACTATTAGTAGTAGTATTATTAAACAAACATTTAAAGAAACTTGCAAAAGGATAAAATCGAAATTGAACCACGGTATCGCATTTCAATCTTAAAAGACCTGGCCTGAGATTTATGGATTTAAGGTTTTTTTAATCACGCTTAGGCCTATGTGTTCTATTATGCCTATGTTTAACGTGTACTGATGCATTTTTACATGTTTAGAAGTATTCATTTTGAGTGATCCCAGGAAGAATTTGTATTGGCTCAAGAATAATCTTTAAAATTTTAACACTGTGTACAAAGGGGTACAAGGGGGGGGGGGGGGAGCCGCGGCTCCCACGGCTCCCCCCCCCCTCTGGATACCACTCTGAGAACCGTGCCTCTGTTACAATAACGTCACTAAATATACTATGGCAAAGTTTTTAAAGTACAAAATACGTAATATACCTCTGGCATGAGATGTAGAAACGCATCACCGGACATCGTACCAATAGCCAGAGCTATGAACACTTGAATCAAGTTTTGGTATGTTGTGCTATTCAACATCGGGATAGTGGCCGCTCCAAGCAAAGACAACAAACTGATGCACAATACAGAAAGCGTTCCCCATCCGTACACTAAACAGCACAAAAAGCAAACAAGAAAATTTAAAACATGGTAGAAATTAGGATAATATAAAACGTTTTATGAAGTATCTTGAAAATATGGCTACCAATTTGGATCTCCTTAGCCTACAGTGTGATATTTTGCGTCTATGTTACTGGTTCCATCATATTGTGTAGGTCTACACCTCGAAGTTTTGTTTTATACATTCACTATATTGCATCGTTTTTAATGAATATATAATAACATAATATATTAAAATTATTCTTAATGGATTAACTTCGTATACTAATAACAAATAAATAGATAAATAGGCCTAAATAACTAAATAAATAAATAAATATAAATAAATAAAAAAAAAGTAAAGTACTTACGTACGTACGTACGTACGTAAGTAGGTAGGTAGGTAGACAGATTAAATAAATAAATAGATAAAAGCTTTATAGATATAGATAATGAAATTTAATATTTAAATTTCTTTTAATTTTTTTTTTATATTTTTAAAATACAAAAATATTGCACTAGTGTTTTATGACCAATGCTAATCTTGTAAATTGTATTCAACTTTCTGCCACACACGTTGCATGCTATGAATTCTTTTTATTGATATTGTAGTGTTGTTTGATGTGTGCATTGCTGTTAGGGTCACTGATTGAAATAGGCCTCATGTATATTGCATCGTTTTTAATGAATATATATATATATATATACATATATATATATATATATATATATATATATAACATAATATATTAAAATTATTCTTAATGTATTAACTTCGTATACAAATAACAAATAAATAAATAGGCCTAAATAACTAAATATAAATAAATAAATAAATAAATTACTTACGTACGTACGTACTACGTAGGTAGGTAGGTAGATAGATTAAATAAATAAATAAATAAATAACTAGATAAAAGCTTTATAGATATAGATAATGAAACTTTATAGTTTATCATAGATTTTACCGTATGCAGTCATAATATTCAAATTTCTTTTAATTTTCTTTTTTATTTTTAAAATACAAAAATATTGCACTAGTGTTTTATGACCAATGCTAATCTTGTAAATTGTAGGATATTCAAGTGCTTGGGACAAATTTCATATGTACATTTTACAATTAGCATAGAAACGCTGTCCAGGTGCGTCATCGTGTTTTTCCCCTACCTGAAAGTTTTGATGGACTTTCATGTGAAGGTGTCTCATGTTCATGTTCGGCGCAAGAGTTGTTGAGAAGTTGTTGAATGAGAGACGGACACATTACTTGAAACTGGGATTTGTCAATTCCTGCGTCACCAGCAACCTCAAATATATCCAACAAATCCTGGCTGCTTAGGCACTGATAAGAATCATAAGCAAAAGTACGTTAACTAGCGATATCTGTCAAACAATGCTCACTGTTTTTTTTTTTCTCAAATTATGCTGTAAGAGTTAATTTCAATGGTGGCGCAAGCGAGAGGGGAAAGGGAAACACCCCCTACCTCGGACAGGCCTAGATCCTGTCGTCCGACGCCACGCCACGATTTGCTTATCCAAATGACGTTATTTCGATTGCTAATCCCTAATATCGTGGTCTAAATGCACAATTTGGGCGATATAAACTCCCTGTGGGCCTGTGGCCGTGAACCCAATCAGGAATTTTGATTCCGCGATCCTGACCGAAACATCCATGGTCTTTACAAAGTGTTGAGAGTTAGTTACATGGTGACCAGTGTTTCCTACCAGTGGAAAAAGTATCCTGGCAAGATACTTGGCGAGAGGGTAAGTTGCTGATCCTCGTGAAGAAACGATGGGCCGTAGTGGAATGTCCGCTTTATGAATTTTTGGTTGTCCGAATAGTCTCGGGCAACATTAATAAAGTTGAGAAATCGATTAAATTAAACTGAATCGCAATGAACTCCTCATTTTATATAGGCCTAGTCCTATATTTTATAGATATAGACAAATGATAGATATAGACCATAGTGCAATAATGTTAAAAATGATACAAGTACTCACAGCAGCATTGGTTATTTATACTATGTAAGCCTATGCACTGATATGTTTTCTTATTTAAACATCTTACAGTCGCAAAGCCAACAGACAGCTGAGTTAAAAGCCTAACAAATCTTCACGACCGTTTATTATTAAGGCCTATTAGTTTAGTTAATCATTAATAACTGATAACCTATGTTTCAACAGTTAACCTTAAAACATTTACGGTATGTAATACGTAAAGAAATGACACGTGTCAAGATTTATCAAACATGACTACCGCTTAAAATAGTATTGACCTGATATCCAAATATTTAGAAATGTCCATAGTCTAACGTCACTATTTTATGTTTTGCACATGCTTAGTGTAAGAACAATAAATGCACAGGATGAATGAAAGGTTCAGTGCAGGGACGTAGCCAGGATTTTGAAAGGGGGGAGGGGGAGCCGTTATGCGAATTACGTATGACCCCGGCGGGGTCAAGGGGGCGAATCCCCCTGTGAAGTAGCGCACTCTGAACGTTCTTAGGACTGTTTGAGAGGATAAAGTGAAAATTCCAATAGACGCATTATAAATAAGCGAAAAAATAATTATATAATAAATCAACAGTGGCAGATCCAGGAATTCGAAAGAGAGGTGAACCAGGGAGGGACTTTCACAGACTGAGGAAGCACCCACCTCAGCCCCACCATGGTTGGGGCTGAGGTAAGAAAATTTATGATTAGGGCATCTCTAGATGGCCGGAAATTACACTCTCGCACTTCAATTTGAATATATTTTTCTTTTTTTTCCTTAAAAAAATGAAGTGGGGGGGGGGTGCCTTGAATCAACCTCTGCTCAAAACATTCTTTATCCAGAATAGTCATAATCACGAAAAATGGACATGAAAAACCAGATCACATCCTAAAAACGAACAGCAGTCACTAAGACATACATCAGGAGCCGACTCGATGGAGTTTAATGTCATACCCATG